CCCCATGGGTTGTGACTACTAAAGGGGTTTGACGCGTGTCAAGACTGGTTTCCACATCAGGTCGCATGTTCTGCCAGTGTAAGCTCGCAGTGGGTGGCAGCACCAGTGAGTGGTGACTGGAGGGGGGTTGGGGGGGTAGCTGCCTTGCTTGCTGCGGGTGAGGCAAAGAGCTCAGGAACCTGCCTTTTCTTCCCTCTTCGTTTTTAACCCTGAGGATTATAGAAATCTGCCTCTGCATTCCGGCTTTTTCTACACAGAGGGGATAATGTCAGCGAGTAGAAAGAAAAAGCAGAGGAGTGAGCAATGGGGTGGGGGGGGTTGGGGGGTGCTGGGGGGAGGCAGGGAAGGGACATCGACTGGGCGTGGTTGTCTTCATATAGGTGCTTTGAAAGGTTATATAAAAATGCTGATTTTGATTATGATATTTTAATTGATCATTTGCACTAATTCAGGTTAACATGAATGAATGAACAGGATAAATTGTGACATTTTAAAAAATAACAAAATGCTCATGCTTTCAGTTCCACGTAGGAACTGGAGATTAGCATCACAAAGCCTCCCTTCTTGGATGCTGTTAGGAAATTAGTGAGGTTTAGAGCACCGTGGGTGAGAGTGGGACTCTTACCTTCAAACAGGCAGATGATCTGGGTTTAGATCCCAGATTTTTCATTTGCTGTTTATGGGGCTCTGGGAAAGTTTATTTTTTCTAAGCCTCATTTTTTTCTTTCTTACACGCAAGGAGCTAATCATAGTTTCTATATCATAAAGTTGTGTCAGGTTAAAAAAAAAAAAACCAGACTTAGATAAGGAAAAACTTTATTCAAAAGGACTATTGCAACACAAGAATCTCCAATCTCAGGAATCTGCAGGCGTCTCAGAAACAAACAGAAAAGGCTTTTCTTTTCCAGGCTGGGCTAAGCAGAACTTGGCAGCGATGGGACATTGGGCAAGCACATGGCATGCTTGCTGGGGTCTGACAGGAAATGTGTCTCCCTGTGGTCAGCCGATTCCCCGGATAAGCGAATAAAGGGACACTTCCGTGCTTGCTCAGGCTTGGGGGCAAGCGGGGGTCAGGGGCCTGGGGGAGGAGAGAAGCCTCCCTGAAATCTGGTGAAGACAGAGCAGCATGTGAGACAAGGGCAGTCGTGAGCACTTGGTCAGTTGTTTTGAGGACCAAGTGAAATCATGCATGTCTATTACTTACCAAGCTTTCTGGGTATTACCAGTAAGTGCTGGGGTTATTTATTTTTTTTAAAGATTTTATTTATTTATTTGTCAGAGAGAGAGAGCACAAGCAGGGGGAGTGGCAGAGGGAGAAGCAGGCTCCCCACCCAACAGGGAGCCTGATGTGGGACTCCATCCCAGAACTCTGGGATCATGACCTGAGCCGAAGGCAGATGCTTAACCGACTGAGCCACCTAGGCGCCCTGGGGTTATTTCTTATGACAAAAGCTTGATTTTCAGCTTGAGAGTGGCTTTTTCTTTGTTCTGAGCAGACTAATTCAGTCACACCTCCACGACAATGATAATACCCATCCAGAGCACAGTTACTATGTTCCAGGCCCAGGGTTGGGGAGAGGTCTGAACTTTGATAAGATGGAGTTTCTGAGCTCAAGGCGTTCTCAGTCCAGAGGGAAAGAAGGATGTGTTATGTGGTATAACACGGAAGGGCAACCATTCTGATGTATACAGGATACCATGGGAGATTGGGGAGGGGCTATCAATTAACTGTGGGGACTATGGGAAGGAAGAAGCTGGACAAGATGAGCCCTGAATGGAATCTGGAAGGAGAAGAAGCATTTACCCTGATGAGCAGGAGGGAATGAGCATTCCTACACACACGGAACAGCATATGCAAGAAAGGGTCTGAAAGAGTGTGTGGGGCCAAAGACAAGGATCCCCAGGTTCTGGGCAGAGCGATGCTGGGTCTGCAGGGGCCAGTAGGGGCTGGGTGATGAAAGCCACTGAAAGGGTAGGGGCGTGGTAGGTTCTGTAGTTAGGACAGTCCTCTAGGGTCATTCTCAGTTCTGTGTCTGCTTAAATGCAGATAATGGCACTCTCCGAGGCCAGGGTTCTAGGAGAGCCATGCATGGAGGACTGGAAGAGCTCAGGCCGGAACTGTTGCTTTGAGATGCCTGTGAAACATTCAGAAACAGATATTTAGGCACGCCTGGGTGGCTCAGTCAGTGAAGTCTCTGACTCTTGGTTTTGGCTCAAGTCATGATCTCACGGTCTTGGGATCAAGTCCCACGTGGGGCTCTGGGCTCAATGCAAAGTCTGCTTGTCCGTGTCCCTTCCCCTCCGCTTCTCCCCCTGCTTGTGTGCTCTTGATCTCTCTCAAATAAATAAATAAAATCTTTAAAAAAAAAACCCAAAAACCCAAAAGAGATATTTAGCAGACAGGGCAGTGGTCTGGGCTGGAGATAAAGACACAGGAGTCATGAACATAGTCATTAGAACCACAGTGGTGAAGATTATCTGGGAGAGTATTTAGACCAAACAGAGTAGTGCTCTGAAGCCAGAACTCGAACATTTAAGGAGCAGAGCACCTTCTTTTAAATGTGTATATGTCACTTTGGTGATAGGTAAATATTTGTTTATGCACATATGTTTACATACAACCAGTAATTACTAAGCACTTTCTACGTGCAAAACACCATGTTGGCTTCCAGGAAAAAGAACTGATGGTTCTTCTCAAGCAGCACATGATCCAGACCAGTGATTATCAACTATGGGTGAGTTTGTCCCCCAAGGGGATATCTGGCAATATCTGGAGATATTTTTGGTTGTCAAAACTGAGGAGGGAAGGTTCCTAGTAGCATCTCCTAAGTAGAGGTCAGGGAAGCTGCTAAACATCCTTCAGGGCCCAGGACCGCTCTCCCCACTTTGATAAAGAATTATCTGGTACCAAATATCAATTGTGTAGAAGTTGAGAAACCCTGATCTACACTAAAACAGCACACGTACACACACACGAAAACAAAAAAAAAACACCCATTCCTTTCTCTCAGCTGGAGATGGTGGCTTTGTAATGTGTCAACTTGGCTAAGCCCAACTATATTTGCCGAAGTTGCTTTTTGTATGTTTCCTATTGGGACACCCGCAAGAACAACTCTTGCAAACTTTGGAGGGACGAAGGGAGGCAGCAGCGTTTTGTAGCTCATACAAACGCATCTCATTGACGCAAAGCAGCATCCAGGCCCTACAACTGCCCTACAGCCTTCCCCAGTATCTCCTCCAGCTTCACTGACCCTTCAGGTGGGTAGGGTGTGTTTAGCTCCATGACAAAGGGCCCCAGCTTCTGGGGCTGCAGCTCAGGTGGGTTCCAGCTTGTTCTTGCTCTCTCACACTCTATATCCATCTCTTCTTTCTGCTGACCTGCCCTGTGGACCTTAAGCTCCAGCCTCAGCCCCAAAGACGACACTAGCTAGCTAGCTCCCGCAATTACAAAGGGCAAATCCTTGTGATATGGATTTATATTTATATATCCCTCTACTGACACAACAAATTTATTGATTGCCTACTATGTCCTAGGGCCCCTATTATGCACTGGAGGTGCAGACTTGAATCAGATACTGTCCTTGCCTCAAAGAATTTGTAATCTAAAATGTGAAGACATAAGTCATGTATTTGTGAAATCAACACAAAGTTGGCAACTCCCAGAGAGAAGTTTCTAGACAGTCTTATGACCAAATGTGTGTGTGTGTGTGTGTGTGTGTGTGTAGGAGCATCAACCAAGGGAGGGGCCCATACATCTTTACCCTTTGTTTTCTGTCTCTTCCTTTTAATCCCTTTAATCCATGGTAAGCATTTTTCTTTAATTTTATGTTAATTGGATTTGAAAAATGGCCTTTTGTGTGAAAGCTTGTCAAAGAATTGTTTTAATTCTTCATCTATAAAATAATGAGATCAGATTTGATGATGACTGTAATTTCTTCATTTTCAAGTTCTGAATCAGTGAAAACCCCTAAATAAGCAATCGATGCCCTTTTATCTACATTCTTATTTCCTTGTCAGAGAACATAGGTGAATCAGTCCTAATGGCCTGATGTCTCTGAACCTCTGGAACATCATTACCTGTGTCACCCTTTAGGATTTAATGTATAAGCCATCATATTAATATTAATCAGTAGAGCGTGTTATTTAAAACTAAATAACAAAAGACAGGTTTTTATGCCTTATACCTAGATTTTCAGATGCAGTAAGTCGAGGCTGGGGCACAGGAATCATAATAGGACATTTTTTAGGTGATTCTGATGATCATCGTTGAGAACCAACATTCTACATTGACTTGAAACTCTGTGTGTGTGTGTGTGTGATCTTAAGTGCCTATCTGCTCGCCTTTCTTCCTTCTGCCCATTACGTGCCAGATGGGGTCTTGACCTGATCCCAGACTTCTCCCTGTAGTGAGGGCAGAATCACAGTCTGTAACCTTCATGTCTTCAGTGCCCAGGCCCCATGGCCAGCACTCAGGAGGTGATTGTTAATCGCTTTCCTGACGACTGTGAGAAACGTAGTTTCAGCGTGCCTGACCCACATAGTGCAGCCTCTCAGTTTGGCAGGTCCAGAAGTGAGGCTCTCTGGCATGTACCTCTTCTGAGACCCTTTTAATTGTACGTTAGTCATGTTGACAATTCAACGGGCCTCCTTGTTTCACCTTGGGGAACTTCAAAATTTCTTGGCTGATGGGTTGCCTTTCAGCAGTAGGGAAATGGAGACTTAGAAAGTAACTCTCCCAGGATCCCCAAGCTGGTGTGTGGTAGAACTGGTGTTTGAACTCAAATCAACAGAATGGATTGGACTCCTTATTAGTGCCTGACTCATAAAACCAAACTTAATATCTTAATATAACACATAGAATTAATAATACCTATTACCTTAATCCTGGTCATACACTGACAAAAATTATCACCGAAGTCAACTTTTCTAAAACATTGTTTTTTGTTTCATCAAAAGAAGCCATTTGTAGAGAAGAAGAAAAAAAGTGTGGAAGTCATTCAGTCTTTTCTCCTCCCTCCCAAACACACACAATCTTTATTATATCACCTTTGCAAACATAAGCAGGCTCAAAAGACTAGTCATAAGTAATTCAAATGCAATAGGCCAAAAACACCAAATAAAATTATTTATGGTACATCAGTCATTCTGTTTTTTCTCATAAATCTTGAAAACAAAAACTGGTCTTAGTTTCTCATTTTTGATATGCTTTCCTCCGTTGAGTTATGTAAAACTTCCAAAGATATAAACATCTCTATATACAAAGAAGCAGTATGGCAGTGTGTGTAACCTGACACATTTTTCCCTCAAAACAAATCATGATAACTCTGCTTTGAACCTGTTCTTCAATTCTAGAAGGAAGCGAGTCTGAAAGATATATAAACCTAACTTAAGTGGCTGAACAATTTTTTATTTGAAAATAGCATAAAAATCTGAGTTGAGCTAAGTTGCTTGGAAAGTGGAAGGAACAACTCTGCTCTCCCAAAGCTTTGTCAGTTAGGACGCAGATAGGAACTGCCAACCCCAGGAAGAATAAGTCTAATATAATATAATTCTAATAAGAATAAGTCTAATGTAATGTCCTACATGCCGTCGAGTTAGAGCAGCTCATCAAGGAGATTTAAACTGGTCCGTCTCCCTAGAAGGTAGAAAAGTTAATTATGACATCGTTCTTTTTTTTTTTTTTTTTTGCTTTCTTCTCTCCTTCCCTTCCCCCTCCCCATCACCCCTCTTCTTCCTGATTACTCCTGCCCCATATTGGTTACCTATTGAATATTTTCAATACTTTTCTGACTGTTTCGGGTCTTTCATCCATCACTTACCTGTGTTTAGGTTATAGGCTTCATTTTATTTTGCATCATTTATTATTATTATTATTTTTAAGATTTTTATTTATTTGAGAGACAGCATGAGCGGGGCGGGGAGGGGCAGAGGGAGAGGGAGAAGGAGACTCTCCACTGATGCAGACTTGATCCCAGGACGCTGGGATCATGACCTGAGCTGAAGGCAGACACTTAACCAACTGAGCCACCCAGGTGCCCCACATCATATATTATTAAAAATTTTTTTGATAAGAGGCACAGAACTCAAGTGATGTATACAAAGTCACACCTAATAAGTAGAGGAGCGAGGATTTGAACCCAGGGAGGTTGACCTCGGAGACTGTGCTCCTCGCTCCTCTCCTTGACGCTCCGCTGCCTCACCAATGTTTCTTTTTTTTTTTTTTAAAGATTTTATTTATTTATTTGAGAGAGAGAATGAGAGCGAGCACATGAGAGGGGGGAGGGCCAGAGGGAGAAGCAGACTCCCTGCCGAGCAGGGAGCCCGATGCAGGACTCGATCCAGGGACTCCAGGATCATGACCTGAGCTGAAGGCAGTCGCTTAACCAACTGAGCCACCCAGGCGCCCCTCACCAATGTTTCTATCAGTAAATAACAATCAGTACAATGTGCTGAGCCTTCTAACTGTTGGTATGCATGCATATTTATCACCCCATGTTAGACACGCAGCAACCTCAGGAAGTAGGTTTAACAAGCACGTTCTGCAGACAAAGAAACAGTTGCGTGCAACAGACTTGGCCAAGACTGCACAGCCGGCACCCAACCCAGGTCTCACAGTTTGTATCTAAGGCATGTTTCCATCTATTACCTCATGGAAGGCCTGTGCCAGGCTCAGGAATCTCTCAGTAAATACTTTCTGCTTGAATGCGGTAGCTCTTCACACTCTCTGGAAAAGGTCTGCAAGAGGCGGTCGGGGTAACTAAGACTCGGGAAGTGAGGAAGCTTGCTGGGGTCACTCAGCGAGGAGGTTGTGGAACTAGGCTGCGAGCCCAAGTCCCCCCACAGTGTGCCTCGGCGGCGGGGGGTGGGGGGGGTGAGATGCTGACCAGCTGTAGGAGAGGCAAGCCGCCAACAAGAAAGGAATCCTCAGCAGACCGATTGTTAAAAAATGCAGCTCTCGTGGGCACTGAAATATCTGGTAGTGAAGTTTCATGATTATCTGCACATTACTTCCCAGTGGTTCAGAAAGAGAGAGCAAGCAGATGTGAACAGTTTGTGGATCCTAGGTGAAAATATATAGGTGTTCATCGTACTGTTCCTTTAAATTTTATGTAGATTTGAAGTTTTCTAAATAAAGAGTTGGAGAAGAAGGGAGGGAGGGAGGGTAGAAGGGAAGAGGGGAGGGAGGGGGGAGGAAGGGAGGGAGGGAGGGGAATTCAGGAGGTGTACATTTGTCCTCATTCTCCGGTTCGCATGCACGGACAACTGTGGAGTCCTTCTACTGTCTTCTGACAATCAAGTGATTTATTCATTGAAATTGCTAAACTAGGGGCGCCTGGGTGGCTCAGTCGTTAAGCGTCTGCCTTCGGCTCAGGTCATGATCCCAGGGTCCTGGGATCGAGCCCCGCATCGGGCTCCCTGCTCCGCGGGAAGCCTGCTTCTCCCTCTCCCACTCCCCCTGCTTGTGGTCCCTCTCTCGCTGTGTCTCCCTCTGTCAAATAAATAAATAAAATCTTAAAAAAAAAAAAAAGAAATTGCTAAACTACACGGGCGCCTGGGTAGCTCAGTCAGTTAGGCAACTGCCTTTGGCTCAGGTCATGATCCCAGGGTTCTGGGATCGAACCCAGCATTGCGCTCCTTGCTCAGCATGGAGTCTACTTCTTCCTCTACCTCTGCTGCTCCCCCTGCTTGTGCTCTCTCTCTCTAAATAAATAAAATCTTAAAAAAATAAAAAAATAAAATTGCTAAACTACAGTATCTGTATAGATGACACTCACTGACAAGATTCTATGTGCTGGCACCTATGGGTATGTTTTAAAATTTATAGATAATCCTCAAATTGAATAAACTACTATCTTCTATTCAAAAGGCAGCTGTATTTGTCATAAATCTTGCAATGAAAATTTGCTTCCTAATTAAATATATGATTCTCTTCTGTGTAGGCAGAAAAGGAAATAATGAAAGTATTTGAAATGAGCTGATTTAGCAAGCATGAATTCATTTTGTACGAATTACAAGATTTAGATGCTCAATATTCTTAACTGCTATCTTGAAAATAATTTTGACGGATTGCTAACTGGTAGTTTTCTTTCCTTCTCATTTGTGTTTAAAGACCAAAACATTTAAATACAACACAATAGAATTGAAAATTTATAGCACAGGGTCGCCTGAATGGCATGGTCGGTTAAATGTCCTACTCTTGGTTTCAGCTCAGGTCGTGATCTCAGGGTCGTGAGATCAAGCTCCATGTCAGGCATCTGTGCTCAGCATGGAGTCTGCTTGAGATTCTCTCTCCCTCTGCCCCCCCCCAAAATAAATAAATCTTTGGGGGAAAAAAAGAAAATTTATAGAACAAAAAATTCAATAGTCAGTGAAACTTACTTGTTATATACTCATTTTACACTTGATTTGGGGGACCTTTTTATTTATATTTTGTATATTTTAAAACTTATGATTGTTAAACTTTTTTTTTTGAATAATATAAGCTAGAAGGAAGGAAAAAAGTCAAAGTCTTCTTACTGATCATTTGAGTTGAGTTGGATTTCCTTTAGGTCTTTTTAAAACTCATAGCGTTTGTTTTTTCTTATGTACATACATGTTTATTCTATATACTTTTTTTGGTATCTTGCTCTTTTTATTTTTATCTTTTTTTGAAAGATTTTATTTTTAAGTAATCTCTATACCCAGTGTGGGGCTTGAAACTACAACCCAGAGATAAAGAGTCACATGCTCTTCCAACTGAGCCAGCCAGGCACCCCTGGTCTTGCTCTTTTAAAATAACACTATCCCATAAGCATTTTCAGTATTATTATAGTTTTTAAAATATTTTTAAGGTAGGGGGAATAAAAACGATAACAAAATAACTCTGAGAGGATATAGAAGAAATCAGGTGGAAACTGCGGGAACTGGGTGGATAGAAGGCAGGGCAGGACACAGGTTTTCCAACTGAATGCCTCTATATATTTCTGACACAGAGTTTTTGACCTATATACATATAATGCTCGTTAGAAATTTAGAGAAAATGATTTGAATCATTTAAAATTGGGGCATAATATTATCTTAAGTAGATGGACCACAGTTCATATTTATTTACATAGTTCTTTCTTATGGAACTCTCAAGTTCTGTTTAGTTTTTTCCTCATACACCAATTTGTGTTTTTAAATATTTCCATGTGTGCTTGAACAATTGCCTGATTTGGCTTGGTCACTACTTGAAATAATTGCACCGTCTTACTGTCCACAGGTTTATTTTTGTTTTCTATATTGTTGATAATTTACAATCACATTTGGAGACTAAATCCTCAGTGATTTCCTTTTATCCCCCCTACTTGAGAACCATTTCTCTCTTCTATATCAGCAATCTCATCAAAATATAGGTTTTTGCCAGGGAAAAGACAATGCCCCGACATGAGTTTCACATATTTCTTGGCAACTTTATTTTTATTTATTTATTTAAATATTTATTTATTTGAGAGAGAGAGAGAGCGCAAACGCACATGAGCTGGCGGAGGGGCAGAGGGAGAGGGAGAAGCAGACCCCCCGCTGAGCAGGGAGCCTGACTGGACTTAGGGCTCTATCCCAGGGCCCTGGGATCATGACCTGAGCCAGAGGCCGATGCTTAACTGATTGAGCCCCCCGGGTGCCCAATTCTTGGCAACTTTAACCCACTGTCTAGATCTACTTAGGGAATAGTGAGAATATTTTAGGCTGGACCATGACGTGTATTTGTTGTCAATATGTGCTTATGACAAATGCCCAGTTCCTGGGGATCTTCATATAAATAATAATAAATATTATTGTAAACGCCTACATGTATTTGGAGTCCTCTTTCTCCAGGACTGTGGTCAACTGTGTGTGAGACTGAAAAGTCTGGTCACCTTCAGCCTGTGTATATTAACACGCACAGAGAGCAGAACCGGGTTCTTGGCCACGCAAAGTCTCCGCTCCCCTGAGCCGATAGAGAGGGCCGCCTGGCCTTTCCAGCCTGGGTTTCTACAGCTGCCACCCTCCCCACCTGCTCTCCATCAGCATTGCTGGCCTGCCCTGGCCTCCTGCACGTTGAGAAGAAAGCGCCAGGACCTCAACTTACCCCACAGCAGCCACAACACTGACAGTCCCCACACAAGGTCCCCAGGAGGCCGTTGACCACCTGGATGACACAGAGAAGCATCTGGATCCCTCCTACGACCAGCAGGATGGAGAAGAGGGTCAGATTCCAGGGCACCACGTTGACAGGCTCGTGGCACTTGCTCCATAAGCCCTCATTATTGAGGTAATCCCTGTCGGGGACATGGAATTGAGAAAGGAGACATTTGTAAAATGTATGCAGTACCCTGGGCTAGAAAGACACCGTCATGATTTTCCTTTTACAATACTTTCCATCCCAAACATAAGCTCCATGAGAAAAATATCCCATAATAGGTGCCTGGGTGGCTCAGTTGGTTAAGCGACTGCCTTCGGCTCAGGTCATGATCCCGGAGTCCCAGGATTGGGTCCCGCATCGGGCTCCGGGCTCAGCAGGGAGTCTGCTTCTCCCTCTGACCCTACCCCCTCTCATGCTCTTTCTCTCTCTCTCATTCTCACTCTCAAATAAATAAATAAAATCTTAAAAACAGAAAAATGTCCCGTAATAACAATTTTAAAAACAACACCTAACATTTTTATTAAGTATGTACTCTGTACCAGCCAGACCCTGTTCTAAACGTTGTACACATATCCACTCATTTTTTCCTATAGAAACCTTATGGTTCTTTTCTTCCATATCACAAGTAAGGACATAGAGGCACAGAGAGGTTAAGCGACTTGCCCCTAGGTCACACAGCTACTAAGTGACAGAGCGACTTTTGTGAGCTGACCAAAAGAATGGATGAATCCAGTATCTACTATGGGGCCAGGAAAATGAAGACGCTGCAGGAGCGGACTCTCACCACTGTTCATGGCCATTATCTTCCCTATTGTTAGGGACCATTTGGACTTCTGACAAATTTTCTGTCAAGTGTAGTGGCCCTCTGAAGCCATGTAAAGTATAGTTGTGTCACATAGCTTAGTTTTTAAAGGCCCAGTTCTAGCCAAATTGTGAATTTGACTCAACTGTATTTTTGTTAACATGCAAAGATTTAGTTACTGCCTTAAAATTCCTTAATTCCTTCCTTAAAAAAGGAAGAAATCATCTGCTGCCTTAATACATAGTTTATAAAACTTTGAAATAGGAGAAACTGCAATGTATTTGTAATATATATATATATATTAGGAGTTCACTACAATATAAGGGGCATTGTATCTTGAAGGAGAAATATGAAGTATATTATCTTTAAGACAAAAACAAGAGTAAAGTAGGTAAATGTTGTGGATTATTATAATTTCTTACATTCTTAGAGCTACAAACTGGTCTCTCCCTCTTCCTTTATGTATCCTCAATCCTTTCAAGGGCTCAGTGGGAAACTCCATCTGGCTACTAAATTAACATCTCCCTTATTGTTTCCAGATCTTTTTGATGACTCCCCTTTCTGACAAATTCTCCAGGGCATCAGTACTCATTTTATTTTTTTATTTTTTATTTTTTTTAAAGATTTATTTATTTGAGAGAGAGAGAATGAGAGACAGAGAGCATGAGAGGGAGGAGGGTCAGAGGGAGAAGCAGACTCCCCGCCGAGCAGGGAGCCCGATGCGGGACTCGATCCCGGGACTCCAGGATCATGACCTGAGCCGAAGGCAGTCGCTTAACTGACTGAGCCACCCAGGCGCCCATCAGTACTCATTTTAAATACATTCTGTATTAAGATTTTCAAAAATCTTTGGAATGATGGAAGATACCCTGGAGTTTAATAGAGCAGAAGGAATAAAAGAAAGCAGGGGCACTTTATTCCTGATTTCAAAATTAGCCATTGCATTGTTTGTAGCATTGATTTACCTTTTCCATAATTCCATAGCTGTGGGACTTGCATACTTACTGTAAAGTGGGAATAACATCAAATCATAGGATTGCTGTGACAATTACATGAATTAATACTAGTGAAGTGCTTAGAACAGCGCCTAGCATGTAGTAAGTGCTCAATAAACACTAGTATTGTTATTATTTTACTTAATCTGAGCAGTGTGGTCTAAAGGAACGAGCTGGTATTTTGGATTCAGTTGGGCCTGGGTTTGAAGCATTCTTCTTACTAGCTGTGTATTCCTCATACAAGTCTTACCCCCCACACTTAGCATCAGTTCTTCGTTTATAAAATGGGCTGAGAACAACCTCACAATTGTGAAGACTCATGAAGACAATACACCTTATGTATTGTTGTATAAAACTTCCTTTTTTAATTACTTAATTATTTTTAAAAACTCATCTTTCTGTTCTGCATGTTTCTATGTAGCCCTTTCTGTCTTTACAATTTTCCAACTTGATTATAGACAGTCATAAAGGCACAATAATTTCCAGGCACATTCTATAAAGCAGAGATTCTAAGAAGTACTTGGCAATGCCCAGTTCTTTCCCTCGGCAAGAGTCTCTGCAGAGATGGGACGACAGTGCCTCCTGGCGGTGAGATTGGCAAAACGCTCATGGGGGCTCTTGAAAGCAAGGGTTGAGTTTGGGTACCTGGAGAAATCCTCTCAGTCCCACCCCTGCTGCTGCCTCCCCGCTCACAAACCACCGCGAATACCCATTCCAGACCCTTCTACTCTCCTCCCAGACTCTCAGGCTTCGAGTCTCTGAGATGCTGGCAATGACTGCTGGGTGCAACTCTCCAACCCCAGGAGAGAGGGGGCCCTAATTTTTCATGGCCCCAGTTGCTAATCATGTTTCTGCATTCTGTGTAGCAAGGAGAGCCGAGGCAGTTTAAAGCCACTTAACTGGAGTTTTCAAGCATCTCATTATTGGGAAGGGCATTTCCACCTGAGCTGCAGCAATCCCATCCACATCCTGATAGAAAGCGATGGATTTCCTGAAACTCACTTCTTGCGAGCAACAAAGGTAGTGGATGGAAGGAACGGGGAGCCCAAGTGCGTTGCCGGGTGTGCTCTGCCTGGCTTATTCAGCGGTGTGCTCTGCCTGGCTTATTCAGCGGCCACGGCCTCCAGAACAGACTCCCTGATGCTCTTCCTGCCCTTCGCTGGCTTTGGTAGCCCTCCTGCGCTTCTCAGCACTCCGTGTCCCTCTGGAGCAGAGAACCCCCAAGACCCTGCGCTGCCACTGTCTGTCCGTGTGCCTGTCTTCTTTCCAGGACCGTACACCCACAGGAGCAGAGACCATGTCTCCTAAGTCTGCCCCTGGCTCTAGCACAGGGAGTCGTCCGTCACCACCAGCAGCTGTCGTGTCCTGGTCCTGCCCATGTGCTGGGCCCTGGGCTAGCTGCTCCACAGCATCTTCCCCAGTCCCGCAAGGAGAGGCTATTTTACTGGAACAGTGCCGGGCATAGAGTAGCCTTCATGAAATATTCACTGAATGAATGAACATACACAGATTAAGAACCTGGGTCTAGTAAAGGGAGGTGCCGGGATTTGATCTTGGGCTGTCTGACTCCACAGCCAATGTTCTTCATCATTACACAAACCCCCTCTGCTTGAGTAATTACATCCCTTCGGTATATTTGCAGTATGATTTATTTGTGAAATTTGATTTACACAATATATTTATCATAGCATGTCAATTAAGATTTACCTATACCATGGTAAAGAGAATATTCTCTTTGCACCTTCATGTGGCTGGTTAGAAATTAAAGCACAAAATCATTATAAAAGCATAACATTTTAGGAAGTTCTAATGCATAATAATGAATTCTGTTCACAGTCATGAGTTCTATTCATGAAAATGAATAATAAGGCTGAATGTTTAGCAAACAGCAAGTGGCAGTAATTGTGCCAAGTGCTTTCTGGACATCAGGTTATTTCATTCTTGCCTGCACCTGTGAAGTAGAGCTTGCTGTTACCCCCACCCATCCCCGACCCTCAACCGAGTAAGAGCTGAGAAGATTCATGGATTGCCAAAGATCACACCACTGGTATGCGGCAGAGGTGGGACTGGTCCCCAAGTCCAGACAGACCAAGGGCAAAGCTGCTTTAACATCCCTGAGTGTTGCCTGCTCCACGGAACATTGTGTGGCTTTTGGCTCTAGGGTATGTGTTCAAGAGCAGCTCAGGGAGTTCCTTGCTGATGAGTAATCTTTGAAGTACAAATGCAGATGGTCTCAACTGAAAGTCCAGGCTGAACATTTATTGTATTCACTTCCATGTTTTGGTGTGAGAGAGCTCGCCTCACCTCACCTTCCCTGGGGAGCAGGGAGCGTTGCAGCCCGACGGGGGAGTACTGTCCTTGGCCATGTCCCTTGTCCCTCCCCCACTGCTACCCGTCCTTGGCCTTTCCTCTGGCCCTCTCTCCTGTAGTTGCCCCCATGCCCTGTGCGAGCTGCTTCCCTATCAGCAGCTCAGGGTCAAGGTAGAGGGAGCCAATTGTCTCAGAAAGGAAGACCTTGGATGGGAGGAGGTCCTACATCAAAGGACGCCAGGAGGGTGTATCTCAAAATGTCCTAGGTTTCTTTTTCCTTCTAGAATGCTTCTCGAGTATGGTTCTCATGACAGAAAAAGTTAACTGTCTTTGCTCTTTTAATATGATTGCTAACAAACATTTCTGAAGGAAAAAAAAACAAAAACAAAAAAACAGGCTACATTCTATGGCATGGCATTGAAGAGTCCTGAATTTTGTGCCCCAGGTTGGAAATCTGAGTCCACCTTAATAACCCTCTGCCCTGTCTCCTCATACTTCATCCTGATGATTTCATCTCAGATGGTCTCTGAAATCTACGTCCTTCTTTTGAGCCCCAATTCCACTGCCTTGCAGGTGTTTATAATCTTATCTGGATTACTACTCCAACCTCCTACTTTTCTCTCTTTGGTACTGGGCCCTTGTTCATCCTCCATATCACTGTCATCACGATCGTCCTGGAAATCCCAAGTGGTGGTGGCATGTCCTGCTTGAAGTCCTCTGCTGGTCCCTGAGGTCCCAAAGTTCTGGCCTGCCTGTCCATTGCACCCCCATGTGGTGTCCCCTTCTGTTGCTCTCCACCACGTTCAGCCTGAGCTTCAGACTCACAGTGATGGGACAGTCTCTGAGCATGTCGGCCTGTCCCGTGATTGTCTTAGGACCTGCTCTTCTCTCTGCCTGAAATGTGCTTCTCCTCCTTCTCTTAAGGCACACCTTTGCTCATCTCTCCAAACCAGCCCTTATCACCTCCTCAGAAAAGTTTCCCTCGCACTCCTGCATTTCATCCCTCTCTGCACTGTGAGGGTCTGGCCGGTGTGGGCCCCCTAACTAGCCCTGTGCTCACTGGGGCAGGGGCCACATGTCTCTCCTTCCCTGCTCCATGTCTGGGATACCCCTCAGCACAAAGTAGCATACTGGCCAAGTATTTGTTTGCTTTTTAAATTCTCCTTCCACTGATGACTAGCTATGGAGCCCTGGGCCGATTAACCTTTTTGAATTTCATTTTTTCTACTCCAGGTATAAGAATTCTCCTCAGATTTATTAGGAAGCCTAAGTGAGGTAATGCATGCAAAACCACTTAGCCCCTAAACATGGAGAAGGAGAAGGAGGAGGGGGAAGTGGGGGAGGAGGAGAGAGAAAACAAAGAAAGAAAGAGAGAGGAAAGGAAAGAAAGGAAAGGAAAGGAAAAGAAGGAAGGAAGGAAAAAGAAAGAAAGAGAAAGAAAAGGAAGGAAGGAAGGAAGGAAGAAGGGAAGGTAGGAGTTGTAGTGGCTGCCACTGCCCTTTGGTGATGAGGAAAGAGTGACAGCTGTCCTGGGTCCTTTCGTTGCAGCCCCAACATGATTAATCCGTGCTCCTCACTGGTAACTGTGCATGTGTGTCAGGTCTGCAGCTCTAATAGCAACTGCTACAGTGCTCATGCCCTGGAATCCCCTGGATAAGAAGTAGCCACGGAGGCAGAGGCCCCTGAACTATGCTACGTGGAATCTATAAAGCAGATAGTGCAAATCAATATCCCTTGTGTTCTAGAAAAGACAGTGTCACTTGGACGCAGAAAGATTGGAGTTGAGCTTCCGTCATTAAGGAACAGCCTATCTCCGGGCAAGCCTCTTGTCCTCTCTGGGCTCAGCTATCTTCCCTCTGAAGGAGAGTTAATCCCCCAGGCTTTTTGTAAGGATCGAATGAAACATGTGGGCGAAAGCACTTTGTTAACCAAAAAACACCAAGTGACAGAGGTTCAGTTATTGTCATAAGAAGCTCAGGATGAGCCCCTGCAGGCCGAGGGAAGGTTTGGAGCTGGCGTGGGAGATAAGGTCGTAAAAGGATGTGAGTTCTGGCCTCAGAAGATAGGACACAGGATGTAGGAGACAATGGAATGCTGAAGAAAGCCTGCCAGGTGGCAGAGAGAATGCAGTGTGACACGCTCCACCTAGACAGCCCCCCCCCCCCGAAAGCCCTTCCTGCCAATCGTGGCTTATTTCCAGCCTTGTACAGAGGGAGGATGTGCAACTTCTGTGGGATTAAATTCCAAAGTCAGGGCATGAGGATAAAAAACCCAACCGTGGATAGTCTCTTAAATATCCTATAAATCACCTGGGAAGTGTGGTATCCATGGCTTTGTAATAAACCCCTACCCAGTGATATTTAATCACATTACAGTTTGAAGCCTCAATGCAGACCTCGTGGTATGCAAACCTGTCTCCTCTCAGATAATTATCAAAGCCCTGCCGTGCACAGAGGAGGGTGGAGAATTCTGAAATGCCCCAGCTTGCCTGCCACGTCGACTCTACTCCATTTTTATTATTAAACCTCATCGATCTGGTACCAGTTCATGAGCGGGTCAGTTGGGAGGAGAAGACACGGTAACATACAGGAAAGCATCCATCACAGAGTAACGTGCAATAGATGGCAGGGATGTGCATGAAAACTTGCTTCACCAGCAGGAAAGAGGACTTTGAAAAGTACTTTCCTGTCCTTCCCCCACACTGGCATTTCCTGCAGTGGCCCACAGACCCGCTGTCATTCTCCTGACCTTGGGCATCTGTCCCATTCCCTCCCAAGCAGGGAGCGGCTGTGCCCAAGGAGGGTGTGAGGGCCTAAGGCCATCGTGCTGCCTTGGGGTGGTACTGTAGGGCTGTAGGCCCAGTGCTGTGTTTCCTTTCTCCCTCCTTTGTTTTGGACATGGACTTATTCTAATTGATTTTCCGTTCGTCATTCACATAACAATAAATAGAAAAGCATGTTTAATACGGCACTGAGGCTGTGGATGGAGATAAGAGGAGAGGGGGCCTTGAAAGGAGACAATCTGGAATTTCATAAATACACCCCTACGGAGGGAGAGAGTGAGCAGGGGAGGAACCTCAAGAAATGAGTCTGGTGTCCAATTTCTATGCTCATGCAGGCCAACCCCACGGCCGTTGGACATTTCCAACAGTCCCCTGCCAGAAAAGGGGGCTTTTCCACAATATGATCAATACCTTTGGGAATCCTTGCATGTGATGAGGATAATAGAGGCCTGCACCCCTGTTTAGCTCTAGAGTACGGTAGGGATGCTCTCTTACGTGAAACCCTTGTCACCCGTATCATCACAGAACCAGTGCCCTCCAGCTCCCTGTCGGAAGCCTGCTCTTGAGGTTCTTTAGACTCTCACTGTAAATTAATACATAGAGTTAATAAATCGGTGTTCCGATTTCTTTAGGCACGGACCCATCCTCCCCGTGAAGGAGGACCCCACAACCGTGTTTCCTGGCCACCTCAGCGTGTCAGTCACTGTGCCAGGCAGCGGTGAACAAAACAGAAATTGTCCCAAGCCCTCCCGGAGGTCGGAGGCTGGTGCAGCTCTGCCTCATAGACCGTCCGTGATGACGGAAATGTCCTGTATCTGTGAGTGTCAATGCAGTTGCCGCTAGACACATGTAGCTGCTGGTACTTGAAATTTGGCTAGTGTGATTGCGGAATTTCTAACTTTATTTCATGTAAATGAATTTAAGTTTGAACAGGTTCATCCGACTACTGGCTACTGCGTTGGATGGTGCAGTCTGTGGGCAGAAGGGTGTGTAATGCAGAAAGACTAGACCTCAAAGTCAGAAGACAGGAGTTTGAGCCCTGCCTCTGGCCTCACCTAGCCATGTAAGTTTGAGCAAGCTGAACTTAGTAAGCTTGCCTTGGCAGGGAGTAATGACCTCTTGGGGTTGCTGTGGGGATTAAATTATAAATTCGTGGGGAAAGAAGTTCTTTATCAACTACAAAGTTCCATGAAAATACGAAGTGTTATTTTAATGAGTTCTATTGACATTAACTCTCATGAAGAATCTACAGTATCTTCAATGTCATTTTCCATAAATGCTCACCTTGAAAGATTAACATAGCACAATAAAATAAAAAAAATGCTATCAAACTTAAAAAAAAAAGATTGTTTAGTCATAGAGCATTTGGGGTATTAGTGAAAGCCTTTGAGCTCTCTTACTGAGTAGTCATTCTCGTTTTCTATCCTAAGATTTTTAATGGATGCCACCACTTTCTGTTTACTAATATTTTTAGTTGCCTTGTGTTGCTGCTCATAAATGTTTGGGTGTCCGTAACGGGACAGCAAATCTCCTTCTCCCAGGCCAGCTGAAACACCTTCTCTTGTTATTTCTCCTGGTGTCTGTCAAAAACACAATTAGAAGTGAGATCTTGGGCAACTTCACTCCACCCACACTCCAGTTCTGCCTCAGAGAAGCAATGCACCTGAGACTTTTCAAATGAAGGTGACAGGACCTGTGCAGGATCCCCCTTGGGCCATTTACCTGCCCATGCCCCTTGTGGGGACATGGGGCATTGCAGGATGTACCTTACCCTTCCTGGAAGGGGTAGCCCCACGTGCTATTGTCCATGAGACACTTAGGACCCCTGTTGATTGAGATGGCCGAGGTGACAAATGAATATCCAGCACCCAAGAATCCAATCACAGCAAATATTGTGGAGGTGAACATCTGAAAGAGAAGGAGAGAGATAGGTTCTTAAGTGTTCCCGAGGTTACCCCCAGCACACCTCACCGGCTCTTGTTGAACATGGGGACTCCAGGGAAGTTTGGGGGTAAGAGCCAGTCTTCACAGTAGGTGGGGCCTGTGGGGTCTCCCAGAAGGAAATTTGGTATCTTGTGTCTCCTTCTTCTCCCGCATCCCCGTATCTTTTCTTACTTATTCATTGATGACTGCAGTGCTAGTAACTGGTTCATCCCTTTGAACCATGGTTTTTAAACCTTGTTAAGAAAAGACTCTCCTCCTATTCTCCCTCCTTCTCAGCGATAAAATGAAAGACCAGCCTATTTAAACAGATTTTTTTTTTTTAAGATTTTATTTATTTGGGCGCCTGGGTGGCTCAGTCGTTAAGCGTCTGCCTTCAGCTCAGGTCATGATCCCGGGGTCCTGGGATCGAGCCCCGCATCGGGCTCCCTGCTCCGCGGGAAGCCTGCTTCTCCCTCTCCCACTCCCCCTGCTTGTGTTCCCTCTCTCGCTGTGTCTCTGTCAAATAAAATAAACTCTTTTAAAAAAAAGATTTCATTCATTTATTGGAAATGATCTTAAAAGTTATCTGGTCTAGTCATCTCGCTTAAGCTAAGCCACGGCAGGGTCCTATGTGGCTGGCAGGTTCCGCTCATGAGAAAGAGCAGAGGTCCTGGAATTCTCCTACTGGTCCCAGTTCCATTTCTCAAGGTCAAAGAGATTAAGCCCAACTTCTCTTCCATGTGGTAGCAGCCTTTAAAATAGCTGAAGATATTTTATATTTCATATACACATATTTTATATGTTACATCTCTCCACTCCTTCTACCCTCTGAACGTTTTCTCTTCTTTGGGTTAAACAAGCCCCCAAATTAAAGTTCTTTTAAATATTTTTATACGACAGGGATTAATTAGTAAGACATAGATGGCACTAGCTTCTTTCTTTTTGTAATTATAAAAGCAAAATAGAATTATAGAATATGAAAGGCAGGAAAAATCCTAAAGCCCATCAAGGCTAACTCCCTCCTATAGATGAAAACAATCAGGCTCAGAAATGCCATGTCCAGTCTAAATAGTCATTAGAGAGTAGCATGGAAACATTAATAATTTTGGAAATGGAGGTGGAAGATGACCACCTCTCTTACATTGGTCACATGATGGTATAGTGCAAAGCACAAAAGTTTAAACGTTGGCAGGCCCAGGCTCCAATCACAGCTTTGCAGCTTATCTTTGTGTGATGACTCTGCATAAGGGATGCGTCCTCAGAATCCTAGTTTTCTTATCTATAAAATGGACATGATAAAGCCTGCCCAAAGGTCAGTTGTGAAAATTAGATGTGATAACCTAAGTTAAATGGCAGGTACTTTCCTCCGCCCCCCCCCCCCCCCCCCCCCCCCCCGCTTCCGTGTATTACTAACAATCTTATCACAGAATATATTTGGGCAAGGGGTGGGGAGAGGGTGGGCTTGGGGTGGAGAGGACTGGATACTACCTGGACAGTTGGAATCTATGTAATAATGGAGTTCCACTGTAGCCTCTTTTGTTTTCATATCGTATATTAATGTATTTTTGGTGCAAATTTCCAAGGCTGAGCTCTGCCCCATGTGCCTCACGAAGCCTTGTCTGACTTCCTATGGCAAACTGACCGACCCTTCTTTCATCTCTTACCCCAGTACTCTGGACTGTATGAACTTCTAACACAGCACAACGCCCACAGCACATTCATGTATAGCCTTTTATGTCTGTCTTCCCCTGAACCAGAGCATAAGCTCCTTGCAGTCATGGACAACAAGTTATTTGAAGATAGATAGGACATTGCTCTACCTACCACCAGCTATCTGGTTTTTTTTCTTCCTACCTTTTCTAAGGCACTGAATAACTACTTGCTGGATGTTTACAAAGACGATGGTTTCATGTTACTCATTATTTAAATTTTCCCCTTAATTTTTGTTTCTAGTCCATTCTCACCATTAGGAACATTTGTGAATATAATCTAGGTCAGAAGTAAATGAAAATGTTGGTCAATTTATCATGTTAGAACAGGCACTATCTTTTCCAAAGGATGTCTAGTTGAATGACTTTGGAAATTGCTGGGTTATATCAAGTTAAATGTGTTTCATTCCTATTTTACTCCTAAATATCTTTGTGACGTGCTAAAGTCTGTGAGCCTCCAAGAAGAGGATTCACTATGTATTCTGGAATATACACAAACTTATTAGCTCTCAGATCACCCCTGAAAAGTGAGGGAATTGCCTTAGAGCTGAGTCCTTATTTTATCTACCAGGAAATAGGGTACTTCCTCCAACACTTTATTTTGAACAACTGAGTACTGCAGGGGGAGGACATTAGTCAGAAACAACCCAACTAATGTTAGCTGACAGAATTGTTTAAAAAAGTTTTCTGAACACAGATGTATTAATTTTTCTAGGAAGGTTGACCTCATCATTTCTAGTTCTAAATGTTATAGTTAACAAACCTTTTAAAGGGCATTCTGAATGAGCATACCTAGTGTTTACAATTGTGGGGATCATTACTTATAATTGCAAGAGAAGTGTTCAAATACTGCCTTTGTCTTTCGTGAATTGGTATTTGTGACTAAGTGAAATTTCCACTGACAGCATCATACCTGGATACAAAAATGTTGTATCCAAACTTAATGGAAGGGAAGAGAAGGTGAACTATGGGAAATATTTAACATTGATGTCAAAAAAACATGAATAGATTTAAAACTTAATGAGTGGGGGAAAAGTCTTATTTCAAAATCAATGTATTAAAATTTTATAGAATGTGATTAAAATATGTGTATGTCATTCAAAGTTTGTATATTAATGTCAGTCAAAGAGGTTTTTTTTTTTTTTGAAACTTCTTAATGGGAAAATAGGAGATAGTTCTATATTCAGTTTCGCCTTATGTTTGGGTTTATATGGTGATTTGCAGAGTTTTCCAGTCTCATTGGAATCGATACCTTCTTTTCCATGAGTTCTTGCAAGAACACACTTTGGGAAATGTTGATCTAATTCTTAGTGACAGTTTATCTGCCTGGTTCTCTGTCTCTGAGCTTCCTCCATGCTCCAATCAAATCGCTGTTCAGTTAGTCACAGCCGATACCACTCTAGGAATGGCCAGAATATTCTAGTACTGCAACTGAAGACTTACACTCTGGGCTCTTAGTCAGGAATCACTAAACTACTGACTAAGAATACAAGAGTATCTAAAATTGCTGTAATGAAAAAGAAAGGTTGCATTTCCAGGAAGACAGTTTGGAAGTCTGAAGAGACCTGTGTTCTAGCCCTCAGCATTATGGAGGCCCCCACCTCTCTGGCCTCAGCTTCCTGTGGTAAACAGAAGAAGGCGGGAGGGCAGCTCTAGAAGGTCCCCTCAGCTAAAACAACCCAGGATTTCAACATCTGCTGACTGGTAGGGAGAGGAGAAATCTGACTCATGCTATTCCTGCTGTGTAAGCTGAGTAAAGGATTTTAGATATCACTCCTGGAACATTTTAGCAGGCAAATATTTAAAGATACAGAAAGTGAGTACAAATGCACACATTCTTAGTGTTAGGCAAGTCTGAGTAAATGAAAAACCAGGTTAACATAAAATATCAATTAGATGATATGCCCTTTATGAGGAGCTTCCATTATAAGGCCCTCTAGATCAGTACTGTCCCATGGAATTTTAACGACAGCCATATATGTAATTTAACACTTTCCAGTAACTATCATTTATAAAGGAAAAACAAAAACAAACAAAACCCCCCAAACCAAAAACACTGAGATTAATGTTAATATATTTTCTTTAACTCAACATATTCAAAAATTGTATCAATATCTAATCAGTATAAAAATTACTAATGAGATAGCTTCCATTTTTTGTACTAATTCTTTGAAATCCGGTGTGTATTTTTTACTTATGGTACACCTTAATTTAGGTTAGCCACATTCCACTGCTTAAAGGCCACATGTGAACAGTGGCTACACCATACTGGACAGCATAGTCTAGAATATTTGAAAAGCTGATTTTTGGTGGTAAAAGTTTAAAAAAAATGCATGGATATAGTCTACACTGAATTTATGATTATGGTTACTCTCAGGGAGGAGGGAAATATGATAGAAGAGAGGAACACAGTGACTCTCAATTGAATCAATAATGTTTTATTTCTTTATAAAACTATCTGAAGGAAACATGGCATCAGGTTACAACTTCAGAAAGCTACAGGTGGCATGTTCTGATTTTGTATCCAAATTTGAAATACCTTATGTTAAAATAAAGAAAACAACCCAAACTGATTTTTCATAACTTTTCCAGAATGGACGAACCACATGAAGCAAAGTATATTTTATGTCACTTTGCTTTAAGTAATTTCACATTCGGAAGTCTTAAAACATAATCAAATTCACTACTCAGAGATATTATCAGTCTTAAAACCACTATGTAATAACTTTATCATGGGTTTCATGATAAAAAACTTTTCATGTTAAAAGTAAAGTTGTTGGGACGCCTGGGTGGCTCAGTCGGTTAAGCATCTGCCTTCAGCTCAGGTCATGATCCCAGGGTCCCCGGATCGAGTCCCGCATCGGGCTCCCTGCTCAGCGGGGAGCCTACTTCTCCCTCTGCCTGCCGCTTCTCCTGCTTGTGCTCTCTCTCTCTCTGACAAATAAATAAATAAAATATTTAAAAGTAAAGTTATTGAACCTCTGAAACTAATAATATACTATATGTTAATTAATTGGGAAAAAAAAATATTGAGACCAAGTTGACTATGTGAGGGTAGACACTCTAAATCGGTGTTATTTAAAGTAAACAGGCAAAAGGCTGGAAAATCTCTGGAAGGAGACACAAAATTGGGACTAGAGATAACCTCTAGAGAGAGGAGTTGCCAGACTTTACAGTCAGAAATGTGTCATTTTTGTACTATGGTAGTGCTTTCCCTGGTCTAGATGAATAAAGACGGGGCACTACTGTGTAGTGGTCAAGGGTGCGGGTTACAGGCAGACTCATCTGGGTCTGAGTCTTTGTTCCTCCCTTATGACCGCAGCAAGTTAATCTTTCTAAGACCTCCATTTCCTCTTCTGTAAAATAAGGCTCAAAAATAAGTACCTGCTCAGGGAGATCATAATATGTAAGATAGCCTAATCAATAGTAAACAGGGAATCCAAAGTACACATCTCTACAAGATCAGATAACCCCCAGTTGGGGTAGGCTATTAGATAATGCCTAGTACTTCACTGATAAGATACCCAGAAACTTCTTTTTTTTTTTTTTTTAAAGATTTTATTTATTTATTTGACAGAGAGAGACACAG